ACGAGAAATTCAAGCCATTCCTCAAATTCACAGTGAACTTCGTATTTGTACTGCACTAGGGAATTAGATACCTGGGGAGGAAAAGAGTCAAGTCAACATTATGTTTTCTGGGATTTAATGTATTTCCTGATAAATTCTTATCTGATGATGGTAGGTCATCAACAAATGTTTGATGAAGAAATAAATGAATGTGAGAACTAATATTCACATACTGTCCTTGGCAATCTGCTCTAAGCCCTAAGGACAACAGAGAGATTTCTTTTCCCTCAATCTTAACTCACTCAGGATGCTACTTTTTCTTTTTCTCTTTTGTTTTGTTTTAAAATTAATCTCAACCTTTCCTCATTATTTTGCAGTGATTGTGGTAGTCTGAAGGAAGATAGTATTATGGCCAAGTGCAGTCAGTGTTGTGGTGGGCCTCACCCATCACCCCCAGCCTCTATAGAACAGAAGCCCTCTGCCCTGGGCTGCTGAGTGTGACAGCTGACAGCACGTAACTGAGTTCCATCGACTAATCTCCAACATCCTGTCCGAGTGCATGCGTTTTTCCTATAGGTGATCTTCACTGAAAGATCAATGCTCAGTATAAAAGCCCAGCCCCCATTCTCCAAGTTGACACAATTTGGACATTTCAGTACAGATGTCCTAACGGGATGATCTGAGCCAATACCTTGACTCTGACACAGCCCAACTTCTTCTGTTGCATTGGACTTGCTTAGTTCTAACAGGTGTCATGGGTACTCATCCATAAACCTCCTGCCAGGGAGTTTAGCCTCCTACTCCCTTCCTGGGAAACACCACCTGTTTGTTATTTTTAAAATCCTTACTTTACCACAGCTTAAATTTTGTTACATATGGTCTAGGTTTAATTCCCCAAGCCTAAGTTAGTACTGTTTTCCCATATTAATACCAGGACTAATGTGGAAATTGAGACTGCTATTAAAACCTAGTGTAATTATTTAGACAGTTAAATTCCTCACAGCTTTTTATATCCTGGGGAAGTAGCTTACCTCTAACCCTCCATTCACTCACACTGTACCATGACTCACCTTTTTCATTGTCAAAGCCACAAAAACAGTTGCTTGTGGTTCTAGAACCGGAAGAAAAGAATGACCTATCTTGAATGGAATTTGAAGGAAGGCGAATCTCTTTCAGAAATACAGTGATATGACTTTAAAATGTGTTCCTTTGGTTTCCATCAGACCTTTTCCTCCAAAGATTCAAAGCTCAAAATATGCCAATGTCTAACTTGTTTCTTTTCTATTCTCTATGCTTCTTCACATAAAGTTTCCACTATTAGGAGCCATGGACAGATCCATCCCACTTCCTGTTTTATTTTTCTTAGCTTAGAAAACAAGATATTTTTAGAAAGGTGAAATAAAGAGGACTGGTTTCAAATTCAATTGTGAGATGAGATTTATTCATAGTGAACCTCTTTCCTTTGTGGTGGACTTAACATTGCGGCTCCTCCTGCCCCAACGCTGGGGCCTCCTCAGCCCACATCCAGCCTTTTGCCCTCTGTCCTCAACAGCTCTCGTCTCTTCTTCACTATCTAACTGTTATCTGTTGTGCTGCTTTTAATCCATGACCTAGAATCAGCCTGGTCGCTTCAATTTTCCACTGCAAATGAAGGTTCTCTGTTTTTCAGCTCATGGCCCATGATCAAGTTTGCTCTCTCAGAAGGCAACACTGCCTGGTGTGCACAGGTGATCAGTAAGCATTTAAATGCAGGAATGACTATATATGAATAAATATCGTTTTTCATAATACACCACTAAGTGCCTTTCCTACCCTCTCTGTACCCAAAGTCTGTGTATAAACGGGGACCTGATGAAGGCAGAGTCCTTTGCTGCCCAACCCAACCAGGTGAGTTGGCAAAAGAACCCTACAGCAAGCACGTGTCAGTCAGTGTATTAACTATGTGTTTCTGATTCTTTGATATCCGGGTCTGTGCCATCCCTGAAGAGACTGTCCTTCCGAAGGACAGCAGGTTCCTACAGGCAGCAAACAACTTTCAATCTGTTAGCACATCTTTCATAAGTAAGCCAGCCACGCCTCAGTTACCTCCCTCACTGGACTCTTACAGTGTTCTCACATTCTGGGCCACCATCCTTCTAATCACTCCCAACAAGATTTCAGGAGACTAAAGGCATCACCTGTACCTGAGAGTCTGCAGAATTACTCAAACTAGCCATTCCTAGCTGCTTACCCTTCCTTGCCCGTTCATTCCCATGGAAACCACAGTGCAGACATTGGTCCACATTTTCCAGCTGCCTCCTGACTGATCCTGGGGCTTCCATCCTGGCCCTGCATGGTCCAGCTTCTGTCCTCCTTTAGGGAACTAGATGACAAATGATTTTGTCAATGCAGTTGTTTCCTGTCATGTTGGTCTCATTACTCAAGTAATAAAAGTTACATTTTAGGAAAGTTATCTGAAATACTTTTCCGGCTCAGCTATGAAGTCTCTATGCTAATTCACTTGAGAAAACCCCTGAAAGAGGCCTCTCCTTTTCTGTAAGTTCTGACAATTGCAGAAATGACAATTACCCAGAAAAGACAATATTATATACAGTTTTTGTAAAAAAAAAAAGTAATAATGAAACCCTACTTAATGTGTATCACCACATGGGTACCTCAAAACAATCTTATGAATTATTGTACTGTAATTGAACTTAAATTCAAAAATAGGAAGTGCTTTTTCTCAAAGCCATCGAGCCATTTACATAGAAGTAAGATTCAAATACAAACTTTGTTGTCATCCTTTGAGTTCTGCCCTGCCTGCACTTCTTTCTTCTTCCAAATCTGCCAACATATTTCCCCAGATTTTTCTTAATTTTTAATATCATAACCACTTCTTTTAAAGAAAAAGGAGGGCAGCCTTGCCAGTGAGAGCCAATGAATAATTCCATGATGGAAAATAGATGAGATGCCTAGAAATATTCCAACAATAGCATAACTTACGCATGGAGAATGTAGTCTGAGGGAGAGATTACTCAAAGACAGAGAGGGACTAGAAATTGAAGGAGCTTAAAATATTAGGTCTGATCTTTAATGAATGAGTGTGAAGCTCTAGAAATATCTTCTTTCTAAAGACATTCCGTTTAGTTATGAGTCCCCAGAGCTACAGAGAACAGGCTTGGCAATGAGGAAGACAGGGAATGTTAGCTGGTAGTTTTGGAGATCTACAAGCTGAGAGGGAATAATTCAATTCAGTTCAATTCAATTCAATTCAATTCAATTCAATTCAATTCAATTCAGTTCAGTTCAGTTCAGTTCAGTTCAGTTCAGTTTAATTCAATTCAATTCAATACCATTAACAAATGAAAATACAGAGAATATAGACTAAATTTATATTTATATTGAATGTCTTAAAGCAGTGAAATATATTGTTGGGCTGTTACAGTCTATCTGGTCAGCACTGACTATGGGAGTTAGGGAGGAGGGCAGTTCAAAGTAAAATAGCTGACTAACCCAGTGTTGACAAAACATAGTTCATGGATCCTACTGAAATTTGGAGTCCTACTAACTTAAGCAAAGAAGAAGAAAAGTTGGGAAAGATTGGAGGAGAGGAAAACAAGTGAATTAAATAATTAAATACTTAATAAATGATAAGCTCATGCGTTTGATGAAGGTGCCTTTTGGGGATGGTGACTGGCAGCTGCCAGGCATTTCCAGGGGAGGTAGTAGGAAGAAACAGCTGGCAGGGCTGGAGGATCACAGCTGGACATTAGGAACAATTCCCAACTCTCAATGTCAAGGGCTCTGGTTTACAGGCCTACAGGGAGCCTTCTGGTATGCGCCTGTCCTAGGGATATTTTTCAGCTGTTGGAAGGACTTTACGCAGCCCCGGGATGGACTGGATGACCCCTCAGCTCCTTGGCTGGCATGGTACCTGGAGGCACCCCACACTCTGTTGCTTGCAGACGCTGACTCCCCGCCCTGGGTTATGGAGTTTTCCCCATGGAAGGGAACAACCAAGCCTTTCACTCTCTGTTCCTCACTTGGACCAGCCCTGATGTGCACATCTGTGGTTTTTTAGCTCTTCAGCACTTAGGCACTTTTCTTCGGAGCCAAGGGCCTCCTGGGAACAATGTAGCATCTGTGTGTGGACAGTAAGAGCCTATGAGCCAGAGATCTTCAGCCAAATTCTCCCTGCATCCCACATGAGTTGGACTGCACACCTCATCTGCAACAACCCACGGTTCAGTCAGCCACAGCCTGCCGCAGCTTCGGGTATCCCCACCCTTGCCCACGCACCAAACTTTTGTGCAGCTGACTTCCTAGCTCGTTGGCCACATTTGCACCAACCCTCACATAGGATGCTTTCCAGCCACCACCCATCCCACCCACAGAGTGAAGAGAAACACATTAGTGGCTTATGCCTGATCCTAAGAAGTGAGAACCGAATGGTGAGGTGCACACAACTCATTTGGGCAGCTGGATATTTACAAAAGGACTGGACTGTAAAGAGATGCTAGACTTTCCCTCCAAGAGTATTTATTGAGTTCTATTTATTGTGTGGGTTGTTGATTTACACAGGGAAGTGGGAATGCTAAACAAGCATACAGTTTTTACATGGTCTGTTTCTGGCGAGTTAAGAAACTTGGAGACATCATTTAATTTCTGGTAAAAGAAACACTTTCAGAAAAGTGCTTTTGTTCTTGGCCCTGAGTCAGAGAGGGGTATGTGCTTATGAAGGAAGGTAGAGTTTCAATCCTTAGATAACCCCAAATGAGCACAAGCTGTGTTGTGCAAACCACATGCCGTGTACAAATTCAACAGTAAGGACACATCAGAACAATCTCTTTCTAGGAATGCCTCTCCTTCATAGAGGTATCAGTAGTTCCAAAGCTTCCATTGAAAACAAGGGGACATGGGGCTGGAGATTTAGCTCAGCGGCGTAAGTGCCTGCCTTGCAAGCAGGCAGTCGTGAGTTCAATCCCTGGTACCGATAAAAAGGAAAAAGACAAAAAAAAAAAAAAAAAAAAAAAAAAAAAAGAAAAGAAAACAAGGGGACAAAACTGTATGAATGCATAGTAGAAAATTAAATGGTAGTGAGAATGGATAGGAAATTGCAAAACAAAACCAATGAGATTTTAAGGAACAAAATAGATCCTATTTCTCTCTCTCTCTCTCTTTCTCTTTTTCTCTCTTTGTGTGTGTGTGTGTGTGTGTGTGTGTGTGTGTGTGTGTGTGTGTGTGTGTTTGGAAGACCTGGTGATCCTCTTGTTTCGTATCTCTTAAACTTGAATTTCCCGTTTTAGTCAATATAAAGCAGATATGTAGCAATAAGCAGAAACATCAGGGAGAAGTCAAAGTTCCTCCTTTGGAGTCTTTTCTTCTGATTTATCACTTTCTTTCTGAAAAACAACATAACACTGATAGTGAGATGTGGAATTGATTTTTGTTTTTAAGTTTATAAAACTGAACCATGTGTTCACTGGAAGTCCTAAATTTATTTTCATTTTTTATCTCATGCACTCTTCTACATGGGATTTAGTTTGTTTGCCATTATATCTTGAACAAAATGTCAAAAAACTTGAATTGAGTTCTTTGAGCAGGAAAGAAGTTAACATTAGATCTGGAAGGTCCATGAAAGTTTCATGTAATCAGAGGTGGGGTTTTTGGATCATGGAGTGCTGAATACATCATGGGGGGATTCTTCCCATCAGTGGTTCAATCTATTAAATTCAGGGCTAAATGTATTATTAGGAGGTGGGATTGGGCTGAAAGCTGGCCACTGGGGATGTGATCTGATCTAAAAAGACGTATTCTTGTCCCTGGCTCTTTCCTTCTCTTTCTGCTTTCTGGCTGCCATGGGCTGAGCAACTTTCCTGCACTATGAGCTTTTACCATGCCATTTCTGCCCTGGAACAAACCAGCCATAGAGTGAACGCTCTGAAAACCATTGGCCAAATTAAACCTCTCCTCCTCCCAGCTGTGTATGTTAGGTATTATGTCTCAACAATGAGAAAGTGACTACTCTATAAGACTTTGCCAAAAATGATTTTCTAGTTCTAGTCTCATAACTATATGCTCACAAGTATCTCGACACCACATCCTCATATTCTTATGCTATTAATTAAACTCAGTAGAGCCCAAAGAACCATTGAACAAGAGATGCAGAGAAAAGCAATTGCAACCTGTAGTCTTACACTTACCAACAATTTCCCTTCCAGGAATCCATCATAAAAGTTTTGCACCTGTTCTAATGTAACTTCCTTTATGGGCAGCGTATCCCATTTATCATCCACAGTTCGATAAATAGCCAAAGCTGGCAGCTGAGACATCTTTAGTCTGAAATATGATATCGCTCTTTGATTTTCCATTACACCACTGTCCACCAGAACAAAGAGCACCTGCAAAAAAGTTTGAAAGGAAAGGCTCTAGTTGAGGTCCTGGGAATGAAGAGATGCCTTATTAATTGTTGCAGATTACACTGCTTGAATTTATTGTCTGTGCCTGATCATTTAAATGTCAGTTTTGTTAATATAAGCTTTTATTATTTAGTGTTGGCTTTGGTATTTTTTCCCCTTGTGCAGATTTATTTAATTTTAAGAATTTAGAATTTAGTGATTTCCTAAAAGAAGTATAGCCTGTTGGTTAAAAGTAGAGAATTAGGCAAGTTTCACATCATGCTTCTGGTTCTTCAAGCTCTGTGACTATATCCATGTTATTCAGACTCTGAGTCTCAGTTTTTAAATTAGAAAATACAGCTTTTTAAGGGAGAGTTCATGAGGTACGCACTTAATAATTTTAGTATAGTTTATATAATATAGTGTTTGATAAATATTAACTGTTTTAAAGATGTCTTAAGACCTTCTAGTGGATCTCAAACTATAGATAGTTGTGATATATGTATGATATATACTTATGATATATATGTGTCTTTGTTTCTCTCTGTGAATACTTACACTATAATAAAAAGAACAATTATAACCACACACTATAATAAATGTTATCTAACATTTATGAATTATTTCTAGAATTTTCTTTTGAATATTTTCAGACCCTTGTTGACTGCAGATAATTAAAACTATAGAATCTATGAATAAAGGGAGACTACTGTATGTTATTAAGTCAAAACTTCTACCTAAAGTGGAAATCTTTGAAATATTCTAGGCAGAAGAATATCTCCATTCAATGGTCTTGAATACTTTCAATGTGGAAAACCAGTCCTCAAGAAGGCAGCTTATTTAGTGATCAGATCATTTTCATCAGTAGAAAGTTTCTAGTTCAATGTAACAGCCATGACATAGCTGAAGTTTTACTGTTTCAGAGACAGGACAGCAAAACTTCACAGAGGAGAAAAGGGAAAGAAATAAATATTTATTGGATGTCTGGTAGGCACCAGGTACTTCTCACTTATATGAGAAGTAAACCCTGATATTTGCTCCAAACTGAAAGCTATTAAGGAAAGCAGTAAATAAATTGTGACTATTAGCTGATTTTATTGTCAGTATCTTTTTGTTCCTATTTTCTTACTGTGTATCAATGCAGAAAAAAATAGTTAACCACAATGAGAAAGATTTTTATGTAGGCCTTAGTAGTATAAAATATAACAGTTTAAATTTCAGAAAACAGTGTCTTGTTATGTCCAGTTCTTTGTTATCTCATAACCATATTTATTTTCATCACTTACCTCTTTTTGTGGCCCTGCTTGCTTTTTCCTAGTGCCCTGGCCATGTGCACTGGGCAAAGATGCTCCCATTTCCAACTCACCTTCTTCTGGAAGAGCTTGGCTGCCTCTTGGTAACGATGCATGTTCTTTTCATACTCCGGGGAAGCCTTGTCTATTATCAGAAGAAGGTGAATCTCAATCTGGGAATTAAATAGGCCTGACCCAGTCTGGAAAATTTAAATGTGTTATACAAGTGGCAAGGAAGGAAAGGGACAGGCAGAGAGAGAGAGAGAGAGAGAGAGAGAGAGAGAGAGAGAGAGAGAGAAAGAGAGAGAGAGAGAGAAAGAGAGAGAGAGAGAGAGAGAGAGAGAAGGAGAGACGCAGAGAGAAGACAGAAAAAGACAGAGATAGAGAGAGACAGAGGAGAGACAGGAGAGAGAGAATATTAATGATAATCCAATGAATAGGTAGGCTGAAACAGATCCCAGTAACATCAAATGGAACTAGCATCTAAGATGACTTTCAAAGTTGCCCCATCAAATTTTCATGGACTTGTATAAATCCTTTGTTCACACACTATAGAGCTGGAGGGAATACCCAAGAGGATATTGTAGAAATGGTGGGAGCATGACTTCCAAGGTTAGTGAGCCCCTCACTCTGGGGAAAGCCAGCCCCACCATGGGGTGTTCAAGTAGTGCTATAAACATTTCACATGGCCAAAGCCGCACCAACTCTCCAGCCACATGAGTGAAAGTTCTTGGCAGCAGATCCTCCAGATCCTGTGGCCCTGGTCAGTGCTTACAGCCTCTCTAGAGATGCTAGAACAGAAGCATCCAGCCAAACCCCAACCCATCCCAGATGGTTGACCCACAAACACTGCATGATACACTCAGTGTTTACTAATTTAACTGCTAACTTTTCGAGTAACCTGTTATGTAGTAATAGACTACTCATATACTATGAAATGTATTAGTCATTTTTCTATCCTTCTTATGTTGTAAGACGAGCCAGAGCACTTAAAATGTGGCCTTTGATGTCATATGATTCCTGAATACTTCTTGTGTGTTTATTACCTGCAAAGCACTGCTTTTGGCTTTTCACATTTCATAATTAATTGAATCCCCTGGCCCCAGTTTTTTAAATGAGGAAACTGAAGCACAGATAGATTGTAACTACCACAGTTACATAACCCCTAGGTAGTCCAGTGTAGTAACCAAGCTCTTGGTCACACGTGGGCTGCCCCGTGTGACTGATGCCAAAGCCCCATGTAAACTAGTTCAGTCCTGGATGTGGCTGATACACTCTACCTCAGCTCAGTGGAACATAAGTTCTTCAGGGAGAGTTAGGACTTGCTGTGCACTTGTCACTAATTTAAAATGGGATAGCCATGAGCCAAGAAAAGGGAGGAGAGAAAGGGTGAAACTGTGGCACCAGTTCCCTTCCTTTCAATTTCCTGAAACTGTTCTGCAAATGTAGTCTAAGAAACTCTCATTGCTCTTAGTCTTTCCTTCTAAGTACAGAAAGCATCGCTGTAAAATCTACATGTGCACAGGAAGGGAAGATATGATGGATTACCTACCACTGGCTCTCAGCACAGCATTTCTAAGCATTAGGCTCCCAGGAAAGTGGAACTGGAAATTGCTAGGTCAGAGTCTCCCATAGCACATGGTTATATGCTATTCTCCGGAGACTCAACGGCTTCATTGGCTGTCATGGGCCATTATGGAGACAAGAAGAATCTCATGGGTATTTCCATAAATATATCTCCCACATGGTTAAAATTTTACATTTCAGAGACTGGATAATAAATTGTGTTTTACTAAATCTTGCTGCACAGAGTGTGTAGCTATGTTCCTAAAGCAGAGACAGAGCACAATTTTTTAGGAAAAGTCAAGAGATAAGAGCTAGGGGGTCAAGAAATACAGTTGTCTTAGCAGAAGGGATCAAATAGCATATTAGTTTAATCCTGACAGACACAGTCTGATTTTTCATCTTGAAGCCAAGTCCTGAGTGTGTACATTGAAGGCAGATGGCAACTAAGGGCACAGTCATGATTTTCTGCAAATCTCTGCACTAGCAGCAGATGAGACACAGCTATAACTGTCCACATGAGAAAATTATTACTTATGAGAAATTAAATTTGCAATAACGCTTAAACTTCTTTCTCTAAAGAAGTTGTTACCTAACAGTCTCTTGATGTGATTTACCATCACTAAAAATGTGGAACTCTACAGGGACACATTGGAGGTGTGTAAGGTGACAGCTGGTCCAGGCCTAAGAATTCAAGAAGGTCTGTGATCTGTCTTGGTGATCTACAGGATTCCAGTTTATGATGATCAACTACCCAAGGACAATAAGATCATCTTTTGTGGGTTCGTTATACTCTAGACAGCTCACCATGACCAGAATGACAATGGTCTAGACACAGAATGTCATCTTGATTATTGCTGCCAGGATGGCATGCATGCAAATGTGTGTGTGTGCATGCGTGCGTGTGCATGCGTGCATGTGTGTGTGTGTGTATGTGTGTGATATCTGTCAAACCGGAAATGGAGTTGCCACTCCTCGGAGATAAAAGTGGTGTGAGAAGTGAACAGGGACTTAGCGAACAGGAAAAGGTGTGTTTTTCCAACTGAAGGCTGTGTGAAGAACAGAGAAACCAGAACGTCGACTCACACAGATGGCTCATGACAGAAGCAGGGGCAGGTGCAGGGGCTATCTCTGAAGCTCAGAGTACCAGCCCTACGGCCTTGGGGAAGTTGCTGAGCTTTTCTGAACTTCCATTTCCTCTACTGTGAAACAGAAGTAGCCAAGATAGCCTAATGAGTCACCAGCTTAATACTGTGCTTTAAATTATGCCTTTTCTGTTTTCCCAGTATGTGACTTAGAATAACGCCACTGGAGTCTTGAATGTTCTCCTTTATGCAGTGGGCATAATAATTTCTTCTCTTCAACCTAAAACAAGTCAATCTGAGGGCTAAATGAGGAATGAATAGCAAAAGGCTTTTTGAGTTCTAAAATCAATTCCATGCATATTTAGTATTTTTTTAATAGAGGAGGCATGGTACTGCTGAGCTAATGTAGGTCACTAGAAATTAATACACCATCACTCTGTGATCACGTTCCAGAGACTAAAAGGCAGGATTATAAGTTAATTCTATAAGTTATAAAGTATTAGAAAGCCAAGGATGACCTGGACAAATGGACCGACACCTTCACCCATATCCTCTACAGCATGCACCATTAGAGGGACATAGACCTGGACCAAAGGCTGAGGTACCAGGAAGGTTTGGGGGTGTGCTAATCAGAGCATGGCGTGCTCATGGTGTTAATGGTCCACAAGGTGACACACACAGCAAAGAAAAACAGACACTTAGAAACTTTTATAGGAAATGTACAAAGTTATGACATAGAAATATGTAATCAGTGAGTTTTATTTTTTAAAAATGTCCTTTATGTAGTAATTTTCTATTACTGTGTTTTGTAAAAGTATCAAGCACTAATGCTTTAGGGGAGTAAAAAGACCTTCAATACTGATTGGCAGCTGAGTTAGACAGAAATATTGTAGGCAGTCAGACAGCCCTAGGCCTTGAGGGATCCAGCATGGCACAGGGCACCAGGTATCCTGTGATGTGACATTGGAGGAGACAGACACCTCCTGCTGTGGGCCAGATCTCAAAACAAATGCAATCATACGGTAAGTATAAACATCAAGGGTTGACATTCTAAAAAGGCATGGATCACCTTGAGGAAGCCAGGATCCACCATCCCAACTCCCTACAGGAAGAGTCACTGCTCTGTAAGAATACCTGCTTGCTACATGACTTGCTTCCTATTTGTCCCAGATTTGGTCAATTTTACCTGAACAGTTAATCTTATTGGTTGACCATAGTTCTATTTCACCTTATGCCCACCTTGCGAGTTCCCTGTTTTATCCATCCTGGACCCTGCTCACCTTGTGGTTTTTTTCTATGAAAGTCCCTTAGGACCCCTTCTGTCCCTCTCCCAGATAGAAGTTTCTTTCTCCCAATATATACATTTTGCTTTTAACCTTCATCGTTCCTAAAACCCATTCTTCATTTTTAGAGAATGTGAACTTGTACTGTACATAGAGTAGGTTGGGGAGTTTCATTCCCCAATATCAAAATGATCTAGAGAGCCACTCAGGTCTTTGCTGAGCATTTCTAGGGAGCAAAATTACAAGTTTCTTAATCAGTTCCTTTCATTTTGCATTTGGATTCTGTTTCTTGTTAGCTGTCTGATAACTTCCTGTTTCTTTCTTTATCCTTTACCTACAAATCCACCAATTTTGAAGGGTTGTAGTAAGAAAGGCAATGTAAATAGCATAGTACATGTCAATTAGGACAGTGACTAGCTGTGTGTGGTGGTGCATGCCTGTAATTCCAACACTCTGGAGGCTGAGGCAGGATGGTCTTTGTGAGTTTGAGACCAGCCTGGGCTACAAAGTGAGCTCAAGGCCAGCCTGTCTCACAAAGACAAAAACAAAACAAACAAAACAAAACAAAAAACAAACAAACAAAAACCCCCCCAGAGGATCAGTGGTCTGAGAAGAAAGGATCTCTGCTATGAAGATAAATATCCTGCCTGACACCGACTTCAGGGGCTGGCTTCAGGGACTGCTGTTTACCATGGAGTTGTACTCTGTCACCCAGCGGAGGTTGTTGATACTGATGAAGTGGCTTAATTTGGTGGCGTCAATGCTTTCAAGCTCTTCGCCTTCTAACTTCAATTGTTCATTATCCACCTAGTAAAACACCAAAGGATAAAACTGCCATCATTCATCAGTTTTTCGATCATTGACCAATGCTGTTAGATCACAGTGTGTGATAGGAACTGTGAAAAGTTCCAAAGCAGAAAAGCAAATGAGGAAAGTTTCCTGCCCTTAAGGGGATTTATCTTTTAAGGGTTATTTTTATATAATGCAATTACTAAGATGTTGAATGATGCATTTTTCCATTGGTTCTGCCTATTTCAAGTTCCTGTTTTCCTCATTTCTGGCTCCTTTTGAATTGGCTGAGTACTTTGTATCATTTTTCCTCCCCCCACTTGTTGTCTGAAAAGTTACACAAGCTTTAATTATTTCCTGGCATGCATCATACAACATACATTTTTCAGAATCTAATGTTAGTTGGCAATTTCTCCCTCCTTTTGGGCATTAGGAAATTCACTTACAGTTTGTTTTCTTAACTCTGCTCTGTCACTTACAGGGAATTATTATCGTTTGCTTTATTTCTAAATCTCGTAAGATATTATTATTTTTGCTTTACAGTTAGCATACATTTTCATTTATGAACATATTTACATTTTAGGTTCTTTTAATTCTTTTCTGCTTTTTTGAGCTCCTACTTGGAAAATTTTTCTCTCTACTTGGAAGACAATTTTAAATATTTTCTTTAGTATAAATTAGCTCTGTTAAATGATAAATTTTCTCAGTTTGGTTGTTTAACACACATATATTTGTTTCAACTTTATTTTAAAAGGTTGTTCTTGTTGGTGATGGAATTTTACATCAGTTATTGTCTTTCAGAATTTGAAAGACAATGATTTTTATTCCACGTTCTACTGTTTTTACTAAGAAGTCAGCTGTGATCCTTACTGCTGTTGCTTTGAGGTGACTTTGAGGTAATTCTTTTACTCTCTCTCTTTTTTTAACCTCCTTTAAGATTTTCCTCTTTCAATTTTCAAATAATATGCTAGGACATGGCTACATGTGGATCATACATATCACATAAGCGTATATAGTTGTATACACGTGGACATGTGTTCACTGGTTCATAATCACTGTGTTCCAATGCCTGAAATTTGCACTGTGTTCAGGATTCATCCCTTTCTTTTGGACAACTCTTCAGGACCCAAAGGTGTCCTGAAAGGTATTTTTCTGGACTCGAGTTTTAGAACAACCTTTCCAACACACTCAGCGCTATACCTTGGATCTACAATGTCCACCAAAGACCTGTTGTGCTGAAGGCTTGGTCGTCAGTCTGAAACATCACTGGGAGGTGGCCAGACTTCAGGAAGTGGGGCTGGTAGCAGGGAGTCAGATCTTTGGAGGGGTGCCCTTGAGGGATATAAGGATCTTGGTTCCTTCCCATTTCTCTCTTCGCTTCCCAGTGGCCATGAGGTGAGCAACTTTGCGTACCAGCCCCAAATCAACAGACCAACTGTCCATGGATGGAAACATCTGAAGCTTCTTCCACATTAAGTTAATTATCTCATATATTTTGTCACTGAAAACTAATGCACTGTGATACATTCAAAGATAGAACCTCATAATTTTAATCTTGAGGTAGCCATTCTCCTCCCTCCATTTAGGCATGTCCAGAAAGATAAGGTACAGCTTTATTACCCACAGCAACTGTGCCTACAGATAAGGAATGCTAATTCCCGAGCAATTATGAGATCCTTGAACACTTCCTTAGCCCTTCCCCCACCTATGCTGTCTCTTACAGGCTCCACCAAATCAGATCTTGCCTGGGATCAGAATCACAGTTGTATCCCAAGACAGTTTCTCCAGTTGACCCAGGAAGTTAGAGGTAAATCTCTTTTTAGTTTGTGTGGAAGAGAATTCTGGCAAAGGGGAAATCTACGTCACCAAGTAGTAAGAATCTAAGATTGCATCCTCATGACGACCCCTATTATCTATTTTTTACTTCTCTTCCTCAAGATGGCCTTCTGTTGGGTTAAAAAAAAAGGCAGATGAATCTCTGAAATGGTCAGTACAACTCTTACAGTGCATTTTAATAATCCTAGATATAGCAAGTCATTCTCTTACGATCTAATTGTTTGAGAATTATTCATTGAGCACCTACTGTGTCTTAGGCATAGAGGCACAGAAGTACTGTCATTGTCTTAGATGGCAATTTAAATGCTCTTTAATTTAGGACTCATTTCACTATTTAAATTTATGAAAGAAATGCTGAGGCACAGAAAATATTGGTATTTTGAAAACAGGATTTTGAAGAAAAAAATCATCCAAGCCACAGTATACTTTAGAATCTGAAATCCCTTTATATATGTAAGTGTTTTAAAATTCACAAAGTTCCAGTAGAAAACTTGGGAAAGATATATAAAAGCAAGAAAAGGTTTGAGGCAGCATCCTTGCCTGAATTTATAGTCCCTTTCATTTCGAATCAGTAAGAATGAGTGGGGAAGTAAGTGAACGCTCAGAAAACTTGATAACTGTGGCTCTTCTGGGTCTGTACTGCTGTTAAAAGCCCGGCTTGCCAGCTGGCATTTCTCTGTCATACTTAAGACTTTGCTATTGCAACCACCGAAAACATCTCTATTACCATTACAGTCAGGGCCAGTTTCATATCGAAGATGTCTAAACACTTGCTGATTATTTTTCTAGGAGCTCTTAGGCCAGGGGCCTGTTCCTCAACCCCCTGAGCTATGCAGTGGGTCTGGCAGCCCCCACTTCTCCGCCCCTTTCCAGGCAGCTCCCCCACTTCCCAGAACAAGCATAGCAGGAAGTGCCAGCCGCTCCAGGTGTTTCTGGACTGCAGAGTACTGGGAGGCAGGGCCTGGGAAGCCAGGATAGCAACCCCTGAGCAGCAAGAGTTTTAAAAGAAACCACCCTCCTGCGGTCTCTCCAGTTTGCAATGCTTCTTTTAATGAAATATGCTCAATTATTTCAATATTCTTTAATAAATTCTGGAATACTTATGAGTACAGTTCCTGGAAGCAGCATTTGAACAAGCAATCTGCCTTCTGTGGAGAGGATTACTTGCACAATATACTGGAAAGAAAATCTGACCCTGCAACCAAGAGTTGGGAACATTTTTTAAAAATGTACTTTTCAAGTATTGGGGATGAGTTTTGTTAAAATAGTCTGTTTTTTTTTTTTCTACCTAAAGAAAGAGATCACAGGAAAAAAAGCAGAAACAATAAACTAAAAGACTGCCACCTTACAGGTCCCAGAAGAGTTCTCTGAAGTGGAGTATTTTGTTTTTGATAGTATATCATACCAAGACATTTAATTGTTCCCTTTTGCTACTTTAGTACATGAACAATACTTCTTTGAATTCCTATGATTTCTCTAATACCTTAACTTTTCAGAAAATGTATTAAAAATCATGTTAGTTTACTTATAGTTTTTTTCATTTTTTATTAATACTGTATACATTTATGTACATAATGGTTACATTCATTGCAGGAAGTTGGTACATATAGATAATAAATCTAATTCTTTAGTTATAATACTAAATATAATGTATGGCACTGAAATATTTGTTAAAACAGTTGCCTTCATGCCCCAGGGTTTATTTTTAAAAGTTAACCAGTTTAACACATATTTGGTAAATATACAGTTTAGAAAAAATGTTTTAATGACTTGATATATATTACTTTGTTTATTAGCATTTTGCTTTGATATATAAATTCTTTCCAGTTCTCTTTGTCTGATAAGTGCATTTTTAATAATTGGCACCCAATAAATGACTGTGAACGAAATAATAACTTACCATGTTTCTCTTGCTAACTTATTTAGTCAAATTAGGTTAAGCTAATTATATTTCTAAGAGACTGTACAACAGGGTAAACAGTCAAATAATACTTGAAGCTCCATGTTAGGACAGGTTTATAGTTCATTTATCCCAGAGATTATATCCTTCTTAGGGTAACAACAGGAAAAGGCAAAGTTGAGGTACCCTCTGCTGTCACATTCAGAGACAGTGTGTCCTCCATCAGCCAAGTGTCCTCCCAGCTTATATTTGTTTCCTGAATTGTATTGAAAATCTTCCTGAAAATATTTACATGTCAGGCTTCACTCTTTTTGGAGAATGACATATTTCATGAATACAGCTTTTGGTGGCTTTTATTTCTTAACTAGTTCAAGCGACCAGTAATATTGTCATTATTTTTTTCAATTAATTGTTATTTCAGTTTATCTCTAACTATGTTCTTACAATTACAACTCTCATAAGTCTGAGTTTTGAGATTTCTTTATCAAAATACATAGTACTTTGATTAAATCTTGAGATATAATCCTGAGTTTATAATCCTTATATAATCCTTGATCAGTTAATGCTGGGGAGGATAAGAGAAATGGTTTAGGAGATAGTGGTTTAAAAGAAAATGTTGACTTTAGAATACGACACATTAAATTAAATAGAACCTGGTATAAGAATAAAGGTTTTCTTTAGGGGAAGTCCTTTATAAATCTACTATAGTTCAGAAGAAAAGGTCAGTAATGCTGGGTATCAAATGAGACTTTGGTTACTTCATAGTTATAAAACTAGACAGCTAGATCGACCTCATGGAACATTATTGAAAAAATGCAGGAATAATAATTTCATCAGATTCTTGTGGGAATTATAACGGTGTCTACCATAAATTAGGCACACACACACACACATGCACACACACACACACACACACACACACACACACAAAATCAACTATGGGTCAAGGATGAAAGAAAATACCAGAAACTTTGCAATAGGTTCATATTTCCCAATACAAAATAGAATGGCCTTGGTTGTTGTGCCCTTTCTAAAAAATACTGCTCTAAATTCTTGAATAACAATCCTATCAAAATATGCACTACACTTTTTGAAGTGTAAACTGAGAAAAAAATGTTTATCTAGAAGTTGGCGTGACCTGAATTGAGGCTCACCCACTCCTGCCAGTGAAGTGGCCCAGGAACCAGGGTGTTTGTTTTTTGGTATGGAACATAAACAAACTTGTCCACTGAGGTTCCAGAAATTCAGTCAGAGTAGCTCTGTCACTAGCTGTAAATAAAAAACAGATGTTAAGGAAGAGTGAAGAGCTTTGAGAAATCAACAATGCTTTATAAGAAATAAATTATAAGCCGAGCTCACGTTCCCATTAAAGACTGTTAAGCCTATAGAGACATTTGAAGTAACAACCCTGTTCGTCCTCGTGTATACAACTTGTGGATACTAAGACCTTTAAGCCAGATCTATTAACCAAAAACTTGGCAAGAAGTACCTGTGACACTTTAGCTGATGAGGAATTCTGGGCTGCAGGATAACTACCTGTAGTTCGACAGAAACATGAAAGGCATTAGTTTGATCCTTCCCTATTTGAGAACAGTATTTCACAGAAGGGCTAGATGAATTCTATTTCTCAATAGTGAAAATGCAAACCAGCACCACTATGCGGGTAGAGGATGATTGCTGAAAGGTGTCCTTGTACCCTCAGACATGTTTTGGGAAGATGAGCTCAGTTTCCCAAATAATTTCTGTGGGCCTGGACATATCACAGGCCCATGGATTACAAAGATGAATAAATTGTGGTTCCTGATCTTCAATAGCTCATGGTCTAAAGGAGTTATAAGTTTGACACACCCATAAATATATTTTGTGCACTGTAAAGAGATAAATGAATACAGAGACTTGGAGGTGTGGAGGAATTGTTAGGCCAGTTTAGGGATTCCAATGAAACATTCTGGAGAACAAGGTTCCTCGAATGATTCACTGAAATACCATGAGAAGCTAGCTGGGTGAGGTTAGCTAGGTAAAGTTGGGTAATAACACATATTAGAAGGTAACGGCATTCTAGGTGAAAGGAACAGTTTGGGGAAGTCATGGACCTGGATGATCAGAATGTCATAGTTGGGTACACAGGGGGCAAAAACTCAGAGAGGAAACTGGCTTGGGAAGGGACTAGAGAATCAAGTAGTGGCCAACTCCTAAAAGACTCTGTGTGACAATAAATATCTTGTTTTTGATTTGTAAATAATGGGAAATATTGAGAAAATTAAAGAGAGAAATGCAATGACCCAGTTTCTCTCTTAATTACATCATAGGATAAAAGTCTAGAAAATGGATCTGAAACATTAAAAGTTAAGAAGCAATTGGGACTGCTTTATGCTAATGATGCTAAAAGCTTATAAGGAAAGCAGTAGAAAGAGTGAAGAAGTATTGATTCAAGACAGGAGGTACAATTGGCAAAAACAAGAAACTGAATGAACATAATCATTCAATAAAACAGTGAATAGTGCATTAGATGGAGGAATGATTTAGCAGGCGCAGACAACAAATTCAATTTTGAACACAGTAAGAGTGCTTGTGATGGTGTAAAAATGGGCATGGCCAGTAACCATTTGAATTCTAGAGAAATCCAGACTACAGATAAAACATTCCAAATCCTCAACGAACATAGAGGGAGGGGAGGAGTTTGCTACCTTGAGGAATCTGGGGGCAGAGACTGCGTGGCTGTACATCTCCAAAGCATAGGGCAGGTGCGAGTGTGGTCATGTTTCTCGGGATGGGCAGTGCAGGTAGACATGGCTTTGTTCTTCTGTGATTTACCATCATGCCTGCTGGTAGTGGCCTCACCTGCTTGGGTGTGACAGTTTATTTCATCTGTCTCACAAAATCTCTGACTTCACTGGTCTTTTTGCCTAATCATCCATTCTACCTGTTAAGGTACATTCTTGTTCATGTTACTTTCCTAATCTAAAGGCCTTGGGGCCTTCCCAGTGTCACTTGAATTAAGTACAAATCCCATTATGGTGATATAGTTCTAATCAAGATTTTTTTGTTTTATATTCCTTTTCTCCCAACATGTGACCCAAATTAGCCTGTTCACTGACTCTGAACTCTTTAAAATTTTTTCCCCTTGTCCATGGATTATTCTTTAGTGTCCCAATTTTACCTTTTACTTCCAAGTTCAGTGGTCTCCTTCATAGTTTCACAAGCTTTCACACTTTACGTTTTAACTCTTATAACACTTTATTTAAGGAGATGCTACTTGTATCATAGATGCCTGTATACTAAAATATACCTGACCCTTACTGTACTTTTGAGATCCATGAGAGCAGAGGTGTTAAAGTATTTATACTTAAGATATTTATATAGAAATGTGAGATATTTACATACAAGTATCTTGCACAGAGCAGATAGGGGTAACCTAACAAATATTTGATAAATATAAGTCAATTCCCTAGAATATAAAAATATAAAATTGTAGGGCTTAAAATGGCCTTACAGATGACACAGGCTATCCTTTTATAGATGAAAGCTCGAAGCTAAAACATGCTACATGACTTCCCAATATTTCATGGCCAGTGAGCCCCAAGCAGCACTAGAAGCCCCACTCTCCAGCTCTTGGTTCAATGCTTTTCCCATCTCATCACCGCACCTGCTGGCCAACCCTGAGCTGAATCATCTTTGTCAGCAATGTCCATGAATTTAGCACTAGCATCAGTGTCAAAGACATAAAGTTCTTTCTAGTTGCACAAGTATAAGGGTCCACAACTGAAGCGAAAACAGAAGCCTTAAGCCTCTCCTCCAACTTACCAGGCGAAAGAGAGAAATGGTATTCCCAGTGATGTTGTAGTGAGAAAAAACCTCAGAATCATTGCTGATTCCAAATGACACATCCGGGAACTCTTGCACCATGCTGTGGAATGCGGGCACTATTGGTATTTCTAAATCCTGAAAACAACAGAAAGAAAAAGAAAACCACAGAGGTTATTTTGGAGGGGTGAGATTTATGCATACTCATATCAAAAATAATAGATTTGATTCAGCAGCCAGTGAAACAACATTTACTCTTAAGAATGCAGGCTAAATTCACAATGGCATGTTTAAAGTTTTCAAGCTGTGGCGTTAATAGAGTACTGAAAAAATTGTGGTTGGCCTTATAGAGATTTGTGTTTGGTCTTATCATAGAGCACAAAGTTTACTAGTAGGTGAGAGAGGCCTCTAAATCAGAGTTGGGCTACACTATCACTGATATATTTGAAGACGCAAATGTTACTAAAACAATTGGAGAAACAATTGAAGAAAGAGGAAATGTAAAAATAAGAAGTAGGTGCTATCAAGCAGGCCAAAAAAGGGAAGAATAAATGAAATTACAATTGGAGCTTAGGAAATCTCATTAACAAGAATTTGTGTAAGATGTGGATGAATAGTCTTCCTTTTCCAAGGGTTTATGGTAATAATTCTGCCCTGCAGCCAGGCCTTCATTAGTGATGGTTCCTGTCCTTCCATAGAGGCTATCATTTTGGTCACTGTCACAGGACACTTGCCCCTAGCAATTCCAGGTAATGAATTGACATTACCTCCTCCCTGTGGCTCCCTGGGCTTCCCGTGCAAGGACAAAAGAGGATGGCCAGCCTTACACCTGGGGTCAAGTAGAGGAAGCCAGTACCTTGCTCTTCTGACAGGGTGCATGCATTTCTTTAGAGACTATGGGTACTTGGGAAATGCAGCTTCCTCTGTGGTAGTTTGGTCTTTCAAGTGGCATCGCTCAAGGATGCAATGCTGGCACCTGCTGGCCACTCAAGTTACTGCACATTTTTCTTTGAACTTGCCTTTCTGAGTGGGGCCACTTTCATTGACAGCTCAGATCTCTTATCACTCAAAAATGTGCTCAGCTTCCCCTCTTACTAACATCTCATTGCAACTATTTCCAGCTATGTACCAAGGGCAGAGGCTGAATCAGCTGAAACAATTGCCAGATGTTGCCCCAGAGGGAGGAGAATGTGGGAACACAGTCTTCTCCTTCACACTGCCATTGTTGGCCATGCAATGCAGTCCAGCACATGAGTGCTAACTCATTCAACATAACAAAGTCATCTTCATTTCTAAAACATTTTAGAAAAATCAAAGCAATGAATAAGGTACCACCTATTTGGGGAAAGGTTTTAGAGGCAGCTATTGACTGATGCTTGTGGGTTTTGACATGACATATAAAAAGCATTGTCGGGGTCATAACATATGTTTACCTGGCTCCTACCTCCTTACGGCATATTATGAGAGTGAAGACTAAGGACATTTAGGGCTACAGTAGGGTTGGATGGAAGCTTTCTTTCTGCAGGTGCTGTCTTAGCTTCGGAGAATCCACGGATAAAAACACAGACTTACAAATCTTGCAGCAAGTACAGGAAAGACAATGCTGAGATGGAATGCTTTGAAGTTAAGTTTCAGTGGACAAACTCAGAGCCTCCATGCTTCTAATGCAGCAGCATCTGGCCATAGGCCACAAAGATGAATCCCTTGAGGTAGGGCATGCCTGGCTCATGGAGGCATAGTATGTCAACACATACCTGGAAGAAGCCTATGACGGCCACCTCAACAGCAGCAATGAATTCCATGGCAGCTGGGACATTTGTGAGCCACACTGGTCCCCGGGGAGCCCTGGGATCATCTGGACAGAGAGGAAGGGAGACTGTCAGGGCACTGAGAGCAGAAGTGGCGGCTTTAAATAATGAGGACATCTCATATGCCTCTGTTCTCCATACTAAACCCAAGGGTATCATAATTTCTAGGTGAGCTGTTATAATTCCAAGGCTTTCTAGTTATTATTTTTACTAGCATATGGAAGGTCACCTCACCCATTTGTTTCTCTCTGAAGGAAACTTGTCTCCTCTCTTCAAGGCAACATGCATCTTTAGTATTTTCTAGAAAATGTTTCAGGTTTAGAAGGAAAGTACCCAGAGTACCATCACCTTCCCTTCCCTTTTCCTGGCAGAACTTTTATTTTATGATCACCATGCACTTTTTTCTTTTACCTGAGGATTCTTCAACTTCTGCAGCAACTTCTGGGGCCAGTCCACAGGTGAGAAGAAGTACGAGAAGGAGATATCTGAATTGGGTAACTTCCATTGTTGGACTTTGGTGTTTTGTGGTATGGATTCAGGGCAGCACTCTCGGTAGCTATGTGGCTGAGGGGACACTCGTGTTCTGGGAACTTTGCAGCTGGCCTCTCTGGGGAAACCTTCAGCTTCTGAGATAAAAGACTGAATATAGTGACAGGGCCACAGAACACAGCCAATCAGAAGAAAAGTCACAATAACCCATTGCAGTTAAGCAAAAGTATGTATGCCCGGTACTGACTTCAACACTAGGAATACAAAGATAACTATGGTCTGATTTCCAACCCAGCTTGTTAAAAGATAGATATATAAACCAGTCATTTAAACATAAAATAAAAAATGATAAAGTGTAGAAAAATTCATGGGGTAAATAAATTTTATGCTATGTGTAAATAAGATTTTACCAGGTAACAACATGTGGAAAGGGAGTTTGATGTAACGAGCAAAGCACAAGGCTGCAAATAGAATGTGGAAGAGACCTGTTAGTCGCTGAGAATTACGGAGCAGGAGGGAACGGTAAGTGTGGGCGGGAAGATGTGCCAGGGCCAGCTTGAAAGGGCCTTCGTAGAATAAGCATAGGAGCATTGGCATCTTTGTATTGGTGAAGGGGGCAGAAGAGAGACGTTTGATTTTGCCCACAAGTGACTGTGTGAAACCTAAAATGAGAATTCCACAGGCAGTGGGATAGATGGGTCTCAAGGTTAGGAGAAACTGCCATAAGAAAATTTTATGGAAAAAACTAAATTTAGATTTTTGCTATCTGTATTCTGAACATTTCCCATTGGATAGACCAAGCTGTTCCTGAGCATGTAAATGTCCCCTGTACTGTGGACTCCACTCCACCTCCTGGAGAGCTTGCAGTGTGAACTGCCTGGCTAAGATATTTATTTGAATAAAGAAAACAGAAATGAGGGTCTCACTCAGAACATACAGTGGTTTTATTCTTACTCTCTTATGTTTACAGTGTCTCCCACATAAGAAGAACCCCAACTGGTAGGACATATTACAAGGGAGTCATTGAGCCAGCAGCAACCCCAAAAGAATCCAGGGATGGGAATGAGCTACTAAACCTAAGGCAGAAGAACTGATAATGGTAGTTTGCCAATTTTTGGACCTCTAATTGCTCAAATAGGAACAGGTTAGAGAGACGTTAAATGAGATGGAGAACTTGGAGCAGGCAGGGTTTAAGCCTCATGTGCTCTCCGGGGACTGCTTTGAGAGACAAGGGTAGAGACACGTCATGAGGAAATGTGGGGGGCATTGGAGAAGGGTCCCAGCTGGGAACAGGGGCGAGGGAGGGAAGACGGACAGGACGATCAGCATGGCTGGGAGGATTCTCCCAGGTGGTAAGGGTAGGAGGGAGAGCAGGCAGATGCACTCATTCTGTCCAGTCCTTCTTAATGGACAGGTTCCATTCCCAGGTGAGGTGGTCGTGCTTGTCGTCATCGGTGAAGAAGGACTTGTTGTGGTAGGTGCCTCTGGCCAGCATGCCCTTGGGAGCCTCTTCGACTGGAGTGAGGAACTCATACTCCTCCGGTCGAGGCCCATAGCTACCAACCATAAATGTTGCTTTATCCACTAGGAAGAAAGAAAAGCTCATTAAGATAATGGTCCGGCAGAGGAAAAACACACCCTGCACATTGGAGAATTTGGAGCATAGCTCACATGGATAAAAGCCAGAGCAGTAGTTTCCAAGCCTGGCTAAAAATGTTTTACTTAGACATTTTTTTCTTTAATAATTTTTTTGGAGTGTCTTTTTGTTTCTTTTTCTTCAGTACTGGGGCACTCTTACTGCGGACTACATGCCTGGCCCTTTTTGAAAATTTTTATTTTGAGGCAGGGTCTTGTCAAGTTGTCCATGTTGGTCTTGAATTTGAGATCCTCCTGTCTCAGCCTCTTGAATGGCTGGGATTACAATGCTGGGGTTGGATTTCTTTTACCCTACTCTCAAAGGCTATGGTGCAGTAGTGTGTTGTGTCCCAAGGAACAGTATTTTAAAAAACATCAGAGCTAATTCTACACATCAAGACAGTTGGGAAATCAGTGCCTTAAATCTATCGACTCAGTTTACAGAGTTGTAATAAATTATAGCCTTAAAAAATAGCCAAACAAGTTGAGACATAAGTTTTGATCTCAGCCTTATAACTATGTAGGTCATATGACATTAAAGCCTTTCATTTCCTCCTCTACATAATGAACTTCAAGGATCTCTTACACAAATGCTAAAATCCAGTGAACATACAGATACTTTAACAACTAATAATCAGAATAGAATTCATATATAGAGGGGGAAATCAGTAAATTGGCCTAAATAAAAAAGTGACGAACTGGGACAAATAGTGATACTAGCTAATCAAATTTATTTATAGGTTATAAATAGTAAGAGTACTTGGCATTAGAGATATTAATAAAGCTAGGTAGCTACGCAGGTAGTACACTGTTGACCTTAAAGCATTAAATTTAAAGGAACAGCTACAAGGTATAACATTTTGCCTTTTGCCAAAGTGAGTCAAGACAGTCTCTATGCTCAGAGGCAACAGGAAATTGATCTGTTTTTTCATGGGACTAGGTGATGGAGAGGCCACACGATATCTCTCAGGTCAGCAGTCATCTCTGAGATCTAGGTAAGTGATGGGTTGTTACATCATGTAGATTTGTGGATTTCTCCTCCACACTTTGCTCGTCAGTTTGGCAGAACTGGCTGTGACTCATGGCTTCACACCTGTGGGGTGTGCAGCCTCACAGGCAAGGAATTGCTGCAAAGGTGCTGCCTCTGCCTGTCTTTCCTTTCTCCCTGGTCAGATTAACGACAGAAGTCTAGCAGTGTGTTCCCAAGGCATGTAGAGAATAACAGCAGAATAAATAATGTTGTCCCATTACTCCTTTTAATTAGTAGCTTTTCTCAGTCCTGGAAAGAATATTTTTTCCACTATTTCTTTGTTAGGAAGGTGAACACTGACCCCACCCCTGAGCTACTCCCCAATTCCCACACCTAACACTCATATCACTGGGCAGGTCTTTCTTACTCTTAGCTTTATCTGACACGAGAACTTCTCTTTTCTAGGGGTGTATTTTTTTACAACTTTCTTTTCATATAGGAGCTTTGTAGTTCATTTCCGAAAGCTTACCAGTGAAGATTAGTGGCTGACTCTATCTAAACTAGATATCCTGAATGTCGTCCTTGCTGATAAGGTCTAGGTCAAAGGTAAATGTGTTCCTGTTCCTAGGTTGGGCACTCACAGCTTTTATCAGAGTCTCCTAAGAGTCTATGAGTCAGTAGTTTTAATAACCAGCATTGGAACTATCAGGGAGAAGCAGTTTGGGAGAGCAGAAAGGATGAGGTCCCTTACCTTTCAGCCCAGTCCGATAGGTGTGCTGAACATATTTCAGGCCTGACACAATATCCTTGTTTACCTGTAGTAAAGAATGATCCAACAAATTTATATTAAAGATAGTCTTACTTTTCCTCATCTTTCATGTTGATCCTGACAAGCTAAGTCTTCTCTGAGAATGAAACGTCTAAAGATTTAATCAGAATATGTGTTCCTCTAATCATTTAGGACAGTGATAAGGCAGAAATCCAAGAGAGATTATAAGACTCAACCTTGCCAGTCCAGTTTTAATCAATGAGTACCATTTTTTAATTATTGTTTTTTGGGGGGAGGAGTGGTTAATTAAAACATTATCTAAATATTCATCAGCTTTCTCCATGCTTCATGGTTCAAAAAGAATGGTCTTAAGCTTCCCATTTGCAATACTGCCAGGCAAAATACTAACCTTGTCTCAGGAAAGGTTATAAAAACACCCACAAGAAACTGGTAAACACCTGAAAACCATAACCTCAGCAATGACCCATCTAGCATATGAAAAACAAATGAGGAGAAAACCCAGTATGGAAACTCCGGGCTGGAAGCTGTTTGTATCCTCCATGTAGCTGGAATAAAGAAAGTGTCAGGGTGAGGTGATGGGTCATGTGAAGACGCGCTTCCCCATTAATAATGGACGAAATGCACTTGCAAGTGGCAAATATTTTGGATGTCTGTCTGAGATATTGTTATTTCCTAGGACTTTCAAAGAAAATTCACAGAACTGCAACAAAAGTAAAGACAGTCCTGTACTTTGTTTTTCCATGAATCATTTCACCTGAGACTGAACTGGGTTGTCTGTTAACTTCGTACAGTGGTCATGTCTATACAAACAAACTAAAATGGACATTGAGTCATTGGCTGGAGAGCCTGGGTAACTGTTTAGCAGTAGGGAGTAAGGCTTTTTCAAATTCATTTTTCCCCAAAATAATTATTGCTCTTTATAGTGCTGGATAAAATAGTTAAACCAATCTACCAGAATTATCTTTTGTCTGTCAATGGGAAGGTTGCAGAGTGGTAAGATTCTCAGATTAGATTCTAGACTTTCTAATATATATGAATTTACCAAAAGCAAACAAAATGAAAATGGCTTCATAGGAAGGAGTAGAATAAAGTGACACCCAAACTTTCTAATTATTTTGACTTCCAGATCTAGTTCATTGGATTCGAGGAAATGAATACGTTTTCCTAAAGTCCTGAGCTTGACCCTTAGGCCAGTGGGGCTGTGATTTGGTGCAGAAAAGACCTATGAAGAAGACTAAAGGGGGAACATGAAGACCTTCCAAACAAAGTCAGCTGTTTGAGCAACTGGAGGATTCAGTTAGCACAAATACATTCAGGATGGGTAAAGGGAAAGCAGGAATATTCACTGTGTCCTTTTCTTCTGCCCTCAGCCCGTTCTTCACTGTGTCTCTCACCTTCCACAGAAGAAGGAAGTCTTGGAAACATGAATGAAGGTGACAACTGTGAAGTCAGTGGTGCTTGCTACATGTACTTGGAAGGTCGAAGAAAGAGGAGGGAGAAATGAAAACAACCATCTACGTCTGGTGTTCAGAGAGTGGTGAAGTTTAAGAAGAGAAGGAGAAGAACATTGAGAACAACTCACAGAGAGAATGCAAGAGAATTTTGGGATGTGTTATGGCATTGTGAGTGCAGATTTCCTTGGGCTTTTTTCGGGAGACATCAGTGAAGATACTGGCTTCTTCTAATTGTAGCTCTGTGTTGGGCAGGCCAAGAGCTACACTCTGGTTTTTCAAATTTAATGAGATTCACACAGCATGATCTTTCTCCTGCTAGTGACAAGGGCAAACCTTTGATGTGGGAGGGACTTGAAAGTCCCTTTCTGTGTCCCAATGGGCAATTCTGGTCACCAGGAACCCTAAGTACTGCATTTCCAGACTTTCCCTTCTCCCCTTAATCACATCTGTGTTTGCCAGTCATGTTTAATTTGATAAAAACTGGATTCTTAAACTGACAATGCAATTCCATATATGACTACAAATTGAACCACTGTGTAACCCATATTAGGGATATTTAGGTAAAGTGCGTTACCAACTGCTAGGTGCTCTCATAATAAATAGTGTGACCGGAAACAAAGTGATCCATAGGTCAGTGCCAATTATGGATTAGGTGTCAACAAATATTTCCAGAATGAAACTATTTTGAGGTACATTTGCATGTGGTAGGGAGTGATCTCCATCCACTCTGAATCATATCCTGCACCTGGGACAAAAAGGTCTCCATGGCAAATAGAGCTGATGGAACTTTGCGTGGTAGAGTCCAGGCCATGGAGAATGTGTCTGAGTGGGAATAAGGGCCAGCCAAGACAAACACAAACCATAATGTGCAAACAGTGCATTTGTGACTTATTTGTTTTCAGAGTCAAGGTCAATTTTTCTTGTAACTGTGTCTACTTGTTGCAATATATGCTATTCATTAAAATCAGATTATTTCTTACTTAGTTTTGCTCTTACCTGGTCACCTGTTCCACAAATATGGGTATAATTTCTAGTAATTTAGCAAAGACTGAAGTCCTATCTATTTCTTCTTGTTATAAGTGAGTTCATTTATTTGTCCATTTCTCAATGTATGCACTTTAAACATTTTGTGTAAGACACTGCAACAGAGGGATACATAATTTCATCTTGCCCAATATGCTGAGCTTGTGTCAGGAAGAAATGCCACAGAAGATACAACCCATGCTACTGTGTGCCTTGCAGATGTGAGTACCAGGGGTTCCCAGACAGAGGAATCCTGCTGGTGTAAGTGATATCCAGGAAAGTTTGAGGGACTCTGACTGGGAAGGGCAAAGTAAAGGTGGGTTCTAAGAGTGGAACTCAGAGGTGGGAAGAAATATTCCCAGACTAAGGCCTGGGAACAATGAAGGAAAAAAAAAGATGCCAACACAAAAATACATGACCCTTATCGCTGTTTATAGGGAAGATTTAAAGTAAAAATACACGTGGAAAGGTACTTACTTTGAAGTGAATTTTGACTCTATATTCAATACCTTCTTTTAGCACAAAGGTTTCTTTTTTGAGAGCTTCAAGGTCCCCTGTAGAAGAGGATTTGGGAAGAGTTTAGTCACCTCAAAAGCAGCTCAAAAAACATGAAGAGATGAATTAAATGGAAGCTTCAGCTACTTGCTGAGCTCATCTGGGCAACATGGCTCAGGACCCCAATTCAAAGGGTATTGGAGATGTGTTTCTGTGAGCAGACACACGGGGAACTGGAGATGTTACAGCTCAGTTACGACAAAACATCGCACAAGTCCCTCCCCGCCCCAGGTTTGCTTTCTTTCCTTCTTAATGTTTCTTTTTTCTCCCTCTCTTTTTGTCTCTCTATTTCTCTCTCCTTTTTTCTCTCTCTCTCTCCTTCCTTCCTTCCTTCCTTCCTTCCTTCCTTCCTTCCTTCCTTCTTTTCTTTCTTCCTTTCTTTTTTTCTTTCTTTCTTTCCTTCCTTCCTTCCTTCTTTCTCAACATTGCCTAGGTTGTGCAGGTATGGGTTACACCTAGCTATTGTTTCTGAAAGGATCACTTGAGCTATAAAAGTTTTAGGTTTCATAAAAGCAGATCTGTGTGTAGTTCTTGGTCCCTGTACACTGGTTAGGGAAGTAATCATGCTGTTATTTTCTTTATGTGATCCTGCTTCATTTACATCAGGTGTGCGTGTGTGTGTGCGCGCGCATGTGCAGGTGTGTGTGTGTGTGTGTGTGTGTGTGCGTGTGTGTGTGTGTGTTGCAGCTTTTTGCTTATTCTTAGTTTCATGAACATCACTATACCTCTGGGATTCAGTTTGGCAGCTTCCTCAGGACAGAAAACTAAATTTGGGTTTTCTCCTCTGGGAAAAAGACACAGAGACCAAGCTTTCTCTGTGACTTCAACAGATTTCCTTATGATACTTGGACTTTATCTTGCAAACTGACAGTTGTGCCTGGTAGCATTACAAAATTTTGCACAGGAAGAGGTCTGAGTTCTGGTGACAGAGCAAGTTTCTGTCCCGGAGAGATGCTAGGTGTGGGGGCCTGTGATCAGTGTGCGCATCTGCCCTAGTGACTCCGTTACACAGGAAGCATGTCTTCTGGGCCTCTGATTTCTTCCCTCTGACAAAAAAACCCATATAAGGTAAAGAGGGGATCTGTTCTGTGACAGGGAAGTTCCTTGTTGCTAAACCTACTGTCCTACAGGGGTGCTTTCCCCGGCCTCACAGAGTGCGATATTTGAATTTGGAAATGATTTTTTGTCTCCTAACAACCTGCCTTTGATAGTTCCGGTCTCTTGGCCCTGTATTCTTGTCTCAGTTCCAACTCATGTTCATTTTTGCATTAACAATTGCCTTCCCAGCCTTTCCCATCCCCTGGAGACACAAGACTCAGGAAAGAGCAACAAGGAGAGACAAAATAATATCTTTTTTTAACCTTTTGTAGGGAAATTCACTTATATAATAAGAGCAAGAGCTTTATACTTAAACATAGTAGTGTTTCTAGCATTATTCAGGAGGTTGTTCCTCTTCTTGAGGTAAAATTTATAGCTGATGAGAGATTAGTCCTTTCTTCTGATGTCTAGACTATAAACATCATAACTCTGGAACTTACAATTTTCTTCTTTATGTTTCTATCTAGAGTCTTTCATACTCAAATAGCCATTTTTCATACACAAATACTCATTTGTGTGAAAATAAAGATCTGAAGTAAATAGGATAAAATTTAATATATCAAGTTAGTGTATATTTGTACCCTCTTCAGTAAAATGAATGAGATTTTTAAATAAAGGATGGCTAGTGTCATACACTGTAAGTACAATCATTTGTGAACTAGTCCAAAGCTATACACTTCTGGGAGTCACCTTACTAGGGTTTTCTTCAACAGAACAGGGGACTAAGTCCAAGTTTCCCTATGATATTTTAGGTACAGTTGAGTCTGCTTACCGGTAAGGTCCATGGTGATTGGTCCTGGTGCACTATCACAAACCAGAGTGAGCCGTGTGACGGTCACATTTGGGAGTGTTGGGTCTGCAGGATTCAAAAGAAGAGGTGGGCATGAGGAAGAGACAAGTGGTTACTCTGTTTGCATTTCAAGTGGGAGAAAGTGAATATAAAGAGAAATAGTCTCTCTGTCTGGAGTAGACATAGAAACAGCGGTAGACTGACCATTCTTGGTTGTGATGGCCTTACAAATTACAGCCATGTTAATCCTGTATCAGGCTCTTGTGGGCTCGTCTAAATTATTAACATCAAATATTTCACAAGTGGCTGTTCATAAGGAGCTGTACTTGTTTGGTACTGCTTATCCACATCTTGGGCCATGTCTCATTCTGCCATTGTGTATATGGAGGAGAAGAGTGGTTAGGAAAGGACGGAGGAGAAGAAAGAGAGAAAATGACAGAGGTAGTGGAGAGAAAGGAATACCACTTAAGTGGTGGGCCAGACTTCTTTCTAAATCTCCCTGTCTGTAACCTTTGCCTGCCTCATTACTGCCTCATTGCAGCCTATGTGCAAGGAAGACCAGGATGGTGCCTTGCCCTCCTCATCCTGCAAGCATTTGACACCCTCTCCTTTGGTTCTGCTGCATGGTTGCAGTGCATCCTCATCTGGGGTCTCCTCATCCCCAGACACATACCTGCAACAACAGGTGCATCTCCCAGCAGGGTCTTCTTGTACTTAGTAAGACTTTCATCATCTTTATCCATCTCCTGCAGCTCCTTCAAGGACTTCTGAGGTGGTGGCTTGTAATTGAGCTTGCTGTCTAGCTCATCGTCACCTTCATCCAGCTGTGGCTCTGTGTCCTTTTCTGTCATCGTGATCTATACGGAAAGAGGGACAAAGATTCCATTTTCCAAATTCTTGGATATGCAAGATATATGTGGGGCTGGATATCACCAACCTTGTTCTAATGAACTTTGGGAGTCATCAGCAATTTTTCAGATTTTTTTTTTCTGAACTCAATCTCATTATGTTTCATGAAATAAAAATATAGTCTTCTAATTATTTCCCTAGAGTGCTGAATTATTCAGTACTGTGATGAGTATCTCTGATATATTGAATGCAACAGACATGAAAGAAATAACTTGTTTGTGAAAAATATATTGCGAGTTAAGCACTATAGCACAAGCAATCCCAGACAATGAGCAACAGTCCAATCAAATATTTATAGGAATATTCTGTCTTTCATTCCACCCAACCTTGCTCCAAGCTTCCAGTATTCAGTGTTTATTATGGTGGTTTTAAAAACGAGCCAAAGGCATGGTTGGTTTCTTTCCATTAAGTCAATCTTTCCCGGTACACCTGAAATATCTGAAGAACTAGAAACCTGATATCTGCCTGAGGTATCTGAATGGCTCCTGCCCACTAGTGCTAAAAACTTCTTAGAAGCAGGCATCAGATTCTTATGTCTCTTGAACTCTTCCATAACTTTTGAATTATTCAGCATCTTATTAATTTTTGTCGATTGATTCCTTAGATTCTATCACTAAAGATCTCTGTTCTTTTGATATATACCAAAATAGCAAAGCATTCTTAAATTTTTCTACACAAACTGTCAGTAAGTGTCAGCTCCCTGACATCCACCTCCCCTTTCTGGAGCTACCTCCTTTTGGGTCCCTACCTTGCTGCTCCAAGTGACTTCATCCTCTGAGGTCCCACTTGGGTGGCCCTGGAATGTTCCTTCTTTCATCATCACTTACATTTACTTTTTATGTGAAAACATTGAGGAGAGATCTAGTAAAACTAATCCACATGTAAGTGTTAACGATGAGGGCATGAGTAGTCAGAGCTTTTCAGAACCAAAACAAACCTCAGAGGTGATGTTTCTAACCTCTCATTTAATCATTGAGAAAATTGAGATCCAGAGATTAGGAGAGTTGCCCCCATTTGCACAGCTGGATGAGAAGTACAATATCTTAATCTAGATTAAGAAATTCATAGAAGAACTCCAGGGCCTGTCACCACAACAACGAGAGAGGGTGACAGGGAGATTTTGGGGCAAAGAAATCATTTTCTGGTTTCCTTTACTTCTGCCTTGAGAGTAACTTTTCACTGCCTGTGACTCAAGACTGTACTGCTCCTGAAGGACTTACCTATACAACAATACCTATCATGTTTTTTCTTGAGTGACATTGCAAACCTTTCCAAAGTTCCCCGAGAGTGAAGATACTTCTGGCTCACGTTGTGGTTTTGAGTTTCAATGTCACTAGCTAGCACTGGAAATAGGAAGAAAGATAATTTGGAAGTGATACCAAAAAGGAAAAAATAAAAATAGTTTTGACAGAACAAAAAAGAAACAAAAGGGTAAAGAGAAAGAAAGAGAGAGAGGTGGGGAGGAAGAGAGGGAAGAAGAAAAGAGAAGGGAAGGGAAGAGAAGAGAAGAACAAGAGACTAAAGAAGGGTAATCTTTAGCTTATTATTTTTCTTCCAGCAAAATAATAGGTGCCTTGATCAACTCTAAAAACAGCATTACAATGCCAACATGTACTTTCATCCAGGAAGGAAGCTCATAACCCTATTCCTATGGGAACTCTTGTTTCAGCACACAGCCAGCATCCTTCAAAGCTCAGACTCTTCAGACCACAGAGAAAAATAGAGCTACCAACCTGACTTGGGAAAATGTGGTGGGTGGATGCTGTACGTTGTGGGTCATTTAAGGACAACCATTAAGGAGAAGACCATCAGATAAGTCAGATTTTTCATCTGGTGGCCTGCAGAGGCTAAGCAGTAACACAGAGCCCATGTAATAAACCATGCAGAGCAACAGGAGGGCTATTTATACTAACAAGGGTGTTTTGGGCCCTGTGATCAGGCACTCCTGGAGTATATCACCTGTCTGAAGTCTATTAGATGGTGACATTACATATGGCCATTAACTCAAGGTGCTTTAGCTCACCTGCAAGGAATTGTAATTCTCTAGCTTCACTTTCAATTTGGAAGGAAAGATAAGAAGGAAGGGGATGCTCTGGCTCAGCAAAGATTGACCAATGTCTGTGGAAACACTGGAAAGTCGACCTATTGGTCATTCAGGTTTTTACCTTATTGTCATATCTGAGATTTGTGTCAGTTCTCTATTTTCTTGACTCACTGCAAACAATTATATAATAAAAATAAGACATTATTTTTTAAAGACATCAAAGAATGGAGGTATAGGATGACTCTATGAACTTGGCACAGCCAAGAGGAGGAAATTCAAGACCCCATTAAAAGAATTTGGTCCAATTGTAGCATAAGAAATAGAGGTAATAAACCAGATGATTCAAAACTAGCTTAGTTGAGAAAGCTTATTAGAAAAAAAGGTGATAATGTCAAAATATTGCAAATGAAAGAATTGAAAAGCAGTTCTTGGTAACAGCATTTTTAAAGCAAAATCAAGGTCAGAACTAGTTGCTGGACACCTACTGTTCATAAGACCCATAAAGCTTTATACTTAGGTACATACTGACATTTAGGACATTGGAAGAGTAATGAGTGGAACTTGGGAATTTTACTCATATTAAAAGGCCCAGTTGGTTTGACTATTCTTGACTATTCTTTCTGGAAACTACAGGTCTCAGAAAATCTGATAAGCATCAAGTTTCTTATCCCAAAGCAAAAGGAATAAATTCATTAAAGTACGCAAATGATTGAGGGTTTCATGGACTCTGAAGTCCTTCATAGACCTTATTGGAATTCATGATATCTAGATTAGGAACATGACCTTAAAATTGCAACTTCTTGGAAACCTGAGGCAGAGATGAGGGCTGGACAGGAAGCTTGTCTAGATGGGGCCCAACCAAGACGCCAACCCTCACATGTACATAGGACCAGGTTCATCCGCCAAACTGTTTGATAAGTTGAAACGCAAAATGTCAGATGACATCAGATGTCAGATGACCCATGTGTTTCAAGGGTCACAACCAGAGTGGTTGGCAGGGGAGCACATGTACACAGCGAGAAGCCCTTCAGAAGAATCCTGTGCTCAGTCTGTTTTCTCTCTTCTCTGTGACCTCCCTGAGCAGGTTCCAATCACCATGGATCAAATTCTCCTCATCTAGGGATGGTGACATTCTAGCACACTCCATCTAGAGTCTAGGCTCTAAATTTCTAAGCCTCTGTCTGCAGATTATTCCTGCAGATTTTTCAGCTAAATTATCAGAAATTCAGTTACCTTATCTCACTAGCGTATCTAAGAGAATATTTGTTTTATTATTTAAATTTATGTGAATTCCAAAAAGATGCTGCACTTTTAATTTTAGTTTTTGCAAGATATAAAGTTACTTGCTTTCACCCAAAAGCCCTTTGCAAAATTAAGGACATAATTATCATAACTTCAAATTGTTACTGAGCTCTTATCCTGAGCCAAAAACTTAGCAATTGTGTGGTAAATGCTTTTTGTACATTATTTCATTAAATAATCACAATATCGTGAAGTAGACACTGTTACACTTTACAAAGCAGACACAAGGGCAGAAGAAAGTATTAAATATTTCAGCCACACAGAATTTAACATTTCCTACTTTTGTGATGAATGAACAAGCTAATGACCAAGATTCTAAGAAGGAAATATTTGCTGTGCATATAGTCAGCAAAATAATAAGTCAATATTTCCTGTAAATCAATTTTTCAAAAAATGTATTTTATACATTTAAAACATAAAATGTGATTTTTGATAGTTATATAGATAGATATATGGATAGTAAAAGTTACTATGACCAGGAAAATTAACATATTTAGCTCAAACGGTTACTTTATTTATTTTTTTTTGTAAAAGGAACACCTAAAATCTATTCTTTAAGCAAAAGTTTTGAGTACAGTACGGTATTAGTAAATGTTGCATTTTGTTGTTGTTGTTGTTTTGCAACAGAGTTTCTCTGTGCAGTTCAAGCTATACACTTTGTAGCCCAGGCTGGACTCAACTAACAGCACGTTTCCTGCCTCAGCCTCCTGAGTGATGGGATTATAGGCGTGCACCACCACACTTCTACTGCATGGTAATTTTTAATTTTACAAATAGTCTTTGGGAAACAGATTCTTCCAAACATCCGGACATAGACAGTATACGGTTTGACCATAATTTCTTACACAATATGTATGTGTATTCAACCAGAAAAATCAAATTTCTCTTTTTATCGTTTCAGATGCTTGCTAAAGGGAGAACAGGAATTTTAGGAAAATTCTACAGATTGTTTTCCAATCTCATCATCTACAGAACAACCGATTTTATTTTTGATAATAATTTCAGCAGTCATCACATACGGCACAATTCACTCTTTCGAAGCTTTCAGTGTTAGTTCTGTGAGCGCTGTCATTTTCTCACAGGTTAGGACACTGGGGCTCAGGTTAGGTAACTGTCTGGGAAGTTACTTGGCATTTCACACCAGGTGCGGAATGAATGAGTGCAGGTGTCTGATTTTCAGGCACAGCACGCTGGCCCTTTGATTGACTTTCTTAAGAATCATGACAAAGTCAGAGCCCGTTAATCACTTGGAGAATCTCTCTGGCGATGCACAAGCAGGGACACATGCTTCTTCTTTTTTTTTTAATCAGTACTGAGGATGTGCTTGTAAGGCAGGCGCTTATGCCACTGAGCTAAATCCCCAGCCCTAATACATGCTTCTTTGTAAACTCTACTGGGCTGACTTTTCAAAAAGCAATGAAATGTCACCTCGGGATGTTTTCAATGCAGCTTTGTCTCTGTGTTGTCTTGCACAAGTTGCTCAACCTCTCTGGGCCCCAATTTCACGTACAGTGCAATGAAATTACTGGACAAGAAGTCCTCCGAGGGCCTTTCTTAGTTTAGCATTGTGAATGCTCCCTAGTTTATGACATGACTCAAACAAGTTGCTCACTGCCTTGAGCCTCAGTTTTACCACCAGCAAAGACGTAATAAAAATCCTTCCTCGTGGCATTGAAGGGCTGAAAACAAGAAAAATTTAGGCCAATAGCAGAGATTCAGTCAATACTCACTTTTTTCTTCCTCCTTCTTTCTCTGCCCCCTCCTGTATGTGGTCTGTTTCTTTTTATTTTTTTCTTTTTGACCTTTTTCTGAGGCAGGGTTTCACTATATGGTTCAGGCTGGCCTTGAACTCACTTTTGTAGCCTAGGTTGGCATCGAACTTCTCCTGCCTCAGCCTCCTGAGTACTGGAATTACATATGTGCACCACTGCACCCAGCTTCTGTATGGTGTCTTTCATGGCACAGCTTTGGTGAAGTGAAGTCTCTGATCTCCAAGGTACAAATGCTTGCCATTGGATAGGAGCTGCACAGATCTAAGCCTTCCTCCTTGGAAATAGACTCTGCTTCTTTGAGGAGGAATAGAACCACACATTCTGGGAACTTCAAGGGTTATTTATAAATGGAATCCAGCTTCAAATGGGACTGTAATTATTATATTTCTTTTGAAATCTTCCACACAAGCAATTTAATTTTAGATGTTATTTATTGTTCCCTTTCCTAATTGAAACCAGAAGTCATTCTGTGAATAATGCAAAATATCAGTGGACACTGATGGAGAGATTTCGCTCTGGCTTTGGAAATTTAACTCATGTTCCAAAGCTAGATCTGTTGGAGTGTGCTGGATGAGGGATCCAGAGACTCACGCCACGAGGATTTAAGTATTTAAAAAGTCCCATTCCGAGGCATTGTCACTATCAATTTCTTTATGGATCAGTATGTGACTTCAGACCTCTGAATACGTCCGAGTCTTAATGTTCATCTCCTGTCTTGAGATGAAAATTTGAAAGTCTCCATTGCCAGACCTTATACAGAGAAGGCAGTCAAAGAAGACTGGTTCTCCTTTTTCTATCTACTTAGTTTTTACTTCCCAGTGCTTCTCTCTTCCTAATACCTGAAGTTTGTAGTACATTGTGCTCTTATAAATGTCCCTCAGGATAAGTTTGCTGTGTTGGGCTCCCAGTGAGCACAGAGCCTTGGTGTCACTCAGTACGTACTTCCTTGAGGACAGACTCGTGCTCTATAACACACGGAAGGACCCAATTTCAAGGCCTTGAGGGCTATAACACAGTTATCTCTCCTAGAATGAATTTGCGCAATGGAATGAAGAAGCATTTGTTTTCCCAGAAGTCTCTATATTTCATGAAAGAATAAGATGATCGCGTTACTGCATTTGTGCTATATTTGGCATTGGGAGGGACATTTTCTTACCACATTTAACAGAAACAAATGGTGAGCTTATTGACACCTGTTGGTGACTGGACTCCTAGCCAACAGGGGACCACTGACCTCTAATTTCCATTGACGGATTATTTCTGCAGTGAGGCTTGAACATGCTGACCCTGACAACAGTGACTCTTGTCTCCAAGCACAGGGACCGCTGTGAGGCCTCTGTGTGACAACAGTCTCTTTCTTCACCTGGAGTGAAGCCGAGGGCTTATCAGATCCACACCACAAACTACCCCAGGTCTGACTTTAATGCAGTCCGCCAGCAGATACTGGCTGGGAAGTCCTCTAAAAAGGAGGAAAGTATTTCAACCATGTCTAAAGCATATCCAGTGGTGGCCAAAGTTCAGAACTTGACACTGAGTAAACAGTGTGCTAGCTGGAGCTATTTGGATTCTTCCAGAATCTGTCTCTTTAAGTACTTATTTAGTGTATTCCATGATTGCTTTTAGTTTTCTCAGGCGTAAAAGGTGCCCCACCTCCGGCACCACGGTGGATATATTTTTGCCCATCCCACTACTTGATTTAAATTTGAATTTAAAACTTGATTTTTGTTCCTGATAGAAACTATCAGTGCATGACAGAAAAGGAAACGACAGTGTGTCCTACTGCACTTCTCCTTAACAGCCCAGTCCCTTTGTACTGGAAAGGAGGACGTCATTGTGCATTTCTCTTATATCACCAGATAGTTCTTTAGTGGAAAACAGTTTGCTATATGACAGCTCCAAACCACTTTTTTCTCTGTTGAGCCAGTCTCATTACACAGCCTGCTTAAAAACAGGAAACCACACATCACCACCCCAGCAAAGCCCAAGACACACCAGTGTGAGCCATATCAGCTTCGACCTACAGTCCGTGCCTCTGTGAGCTTGGCCAAGCGCCTGCTCCTCCTTGCAGAAAACCTTTCCAGGCTGTCTCCTGCAGGTGCGCGCTGAGGCCCTCCCCAGAGCATCCTGCTTCTCCCCAGGCTGCAGCGCCTCCTCACCCTCCTTCCAGCCGCTCCCCTGAGTCATTGCTCTAACTTCCCCCTCTCTGGGGCACCCTTTTAGCACCTTATTATCAAGTTTGTTGCACAGAGAACTATCTGATTAAAAACATCTATCAAGGCCAGTAGCCTGGTACAGAGGTGTCCTACACCCTTCTAAGCCCACCTTTAATCCCCCAACCCTGGGGCATTTGAACTCACATTCAGCGGTCACGTCTCTGTCCTGTCGTGTGCCTCTGTCTCTCAACTCTGACTTCTGAGTGCTGGCAGTTAGAACAGGAAGGAAGTCAGCGAGAAAAAAAAATGTTTTAACCTCCTCAAAAAGGAAACCCTGGGCTGTCTCTAATCCTGTTCCTTTGCACAGCCTCTATCTTGATCAGCCAACTATGAGCAGCGTTCTTGCCAATTAATGGCACATGTGGCAACAAGACAGCCCGTGATGATATGCACGAATGTACACGCAAAGGATGGAGCTTACAGCTAGAAGTGTGAAGAACTGTGCGGATGCGTCTAAAAATCAACTCAGTCAGTGCATAAGCCTCGTGGGGCAAGCAGCCTAAAAAACCAGTAGTAACAAATTCAAAGAGGCTTTACTTTCTGCCACTAACTTCTGTTCTTATCAGGTGCCTGCCAGCTCCGTTATCAGCCAGATATTTTGAAAACGTTGGCAGTGAATGCAGAGTGGAAATTGTGAACGTTAAATATGTATACTTGATGCTTATTGCAAGATTTTGTTCTCACACAGATTTTTGGAGTTTTATTGGCTATAATTTCATGATGTAGCTTTATTTTGCATCACAGACCATCAATGCTGTTTGTCATCATTTTTGCTAGGTTTTCTTCCAAATTAAACAAACAAACTATCAGAAGCTAAAGCACTGCCTTTGATTACATTTAGGATTGCAGATTACAAAATAAAACAAGACTTCATTAATTCATAGTCTTTCAACTCAGAAATCTGTGAAAATTTAACAAGTGCTAAAATTGACTTTGGCCTATAATTGAGGAAATGGTTTTTGAAGTAATTCAAATGGAACAGATTGCAAAGGCCACATTTAAACCATTTGAGGAAACAGTTTTTAAGCACATAAGCTGTTCTTATTCTGTACCTTGCCCTAGCTGTTGTCAATAATAAATGCTTTATATTAATGTTTCAATGTTCAGTTTTTTGTTTTTTTTGGTCTTTTTCCTTTTTATCGGTACCGGAGATCGAACTCACGACTGCCTGCTTGCAAGGCAGGTACTTATGCCACTGAGCTAAATCCCCAGCCCTCAATGTTCAGTTTTTATGTCAACATTTTTAATACGACTAAGCAAACATACTTGGAGAAGCTGACTTCTAAAACTTCAAGTCACAGTGTTTTCTTTGTTTTGTAATTGTTTCCAGGGACTGTATCTTGTCCTTGAAGTCAATAGACTTGAGTGATTAAAGCATAATAGTCACTCAATGAGAAAAATTAGTCTGGATGTCCCCCAAAGCCTCATTCAGTCATGGGAGCAGACTTCTAGAATTTGTGAATGACCCATGACCCAGTGCTGGGATTATGGGTGTGAGTGCCACCCCCAGTGGGTGTGGCCTGCATATAATACAAGGGACAGAAAGAATTTTTTCTCTATGCTCCCCCACTTCTGCTCTTGTTGCTTGTGCTGTTTTCCCCTACCAAGAACTGTTGCTCTCTGCCATGTGCCAGCTGAGTATGGGCTGAAATCTCCACAAACTGTGAGCTAAATAAACTTTTTCTCCCTTAACTTTAGGCATCGGGCATTTTGTCTTAGCAATGAGAGAAAAGTAACCAACACAACTCCCCAACATATAAAAAGGAAAACAATACACAATTAACATTAATACAAGTCCTAAAAACCAAATACAATTTTATTCCATGAATTTCAGCATCATATAGATAGACTATAACACTTGAAACAAAGGATATAGTTTTATTATAAATAAAAGCAAATACTGATTTACACAGAAGGCAGTACGCATTTTCAACTTCATAGTTTAAAGGGACCACGTTTATTCAGTGAATTATTCTAAGTAAGGTTGCAGGCTGCAGTGTGTACCATAGACAGACTAAACCTGTTGTCCTGCAGCTATAGTGAGGAGACTGACAAACAGTAGGATATGCAGAAGATTGACTGATTCAGTATACATTTAAATTTAAAAAATTTTATTACAGTAAAAGACACACTGCCCATAATTCCCCTCAAAAGGCTCCACTCATTTCAAACATACTTGAAGCATTATTCTTGCGGCTTTTGAAAGTGGCTCTGGAAGTCCTATTTCCTTTGTGTCTTTAGTTACGCTGTTGTGGCTCTTTCAATATGGCTGAGTCAATTCAAAACGGTTACCTTTCACAATCGTTTTGACTTTGGAGAAGAGTCAAAAGTCACATGATGCTAGAGGTGGAATAGAGGACACACTGTAACCATTTTATAACTCTGCCTTTCCCTTGGACGGCAGGCAGCAGCAGCGTTCGCCATCATTTCGATCATATCTTGTAAATACACTCGTGAAAGGAGACTCTCAGAACTGCTTCCAAAAGTGACAAGAATGACTGAATAAGTATGTTTAAAGTGAGGGGCATTTTAGGGTAATTAATGAGAATGTGCTTTTACTGTGTATCATAATCTTTAAATTTAAACATTTTTGATATATTTTGATTACTCATATTAGTGGCAGCAGAAAATATTTAAGATTAGAAATGGTGGATTTGTGGTCTGCCACCACTTATGTCTCATGCTGTCAAGGAAGATACCACAGAGCAGAAATCACATTTTTTTTCTGCTGACCTGAGCCTCGTGTGTGACCTCACAACCTTTCTTATGCAGCGTGAGAAGCAGTGACATCAAAGATATTTCAACCTCCCAGTGCCTGTAGAATCAGTGAGTAGGTGTGTAGTTTATGTACCATTGTTGGAAAGGGAGAGAACTTTGATAATTTCATTGAAGCTTCAAGGGATCTATGACTTCAAAAAGATTAAAAATTAGTGATTTAGGTAGTGAATTTGGTGATATGATGATGAACTACTAGCAGAGGGCAACCGCTATGACTTCCCAAAATGTCTGAGCATCACAGTCAGGACTGTGGTCCAGAACAATTACTACTTCTCATGTTGTCCTGATGCAGGTTGTTGTTCACATGTACTTACCAGGTGGGTAAACCAGAGACTCTTTTAATAGAATTAAAATGGAGGACTCTCCACTTCTAGCTCATGCTGATAAATGTGAGTTATATACTAAGACTTCTTTTCTTGCACCCAAATTTCTGCAAATAGAACAATGTCTTCATCATGGTAAAGAGAAACTAAGGTGCCTGTTGTGGTAAAGAAAATGCTTTCTCTAACCGCATAAGCACTATGTTGCTTAATGAAACCAACAAACCATGAAACCTACTTAAGAATATTCAGAAAAATGATTAGGCCTTTGAAGTATTTTCCAACTGTTTTAAGGATACAACTGAAAGGTAAATTTCAGGCAAATCTTTCATGGGGCTTTTGCCATGAGCCTGAAAAAAAATGACAAGAGCATTTCTCTTTTATTTCATGGACCCATTTCTTAGAATTCACAAGTAAAGATGCTCAGAGAAAGTTATCTGCCCTGCAAGCTGTTCATTCTGGAATATGTCTGCATAGCCTTCATAGTAGCTGTGGACGGAGGTGGAAGTCCCCTCTCAAGGCAGATATCCTGGCGCTGTCTCTTCCTGTCAGTGTGTCCTTGGGCTAGTGGTTAGATTTCTGGGTGTTAGTTTTCTTATCTGAAAAAGAAAGGTGATATTAATTTTTAGCACTCCTGGTAGAGTTGGAAATGATGTGTGATATGTTGCAGAGTTTCTGTCTCACAGCTTGATGAATGGCCCAGGCTAGGAAAATCGTCACCATCAATAAGAGGGTCATTTTCATCTGTGTGCTCATGATCAGCCCACCTACATATCCTGTCTTACCTCCTCCTTTGAAGCTGTCTTCCCCCCAACAAATATGTGTTTCCTGAACTCCTAGAATGTGAAATCACATGATATGCAGTATATATAACACACTGAAGTACATTGTGGATTTATTTTTCTGATGTTCTGAAGTGTGCAATTATATAATACAATTAGTACTTTAACAGACAATTTTGTATTTGTTGTACAGTTATTTTATGAACAGAAAACATTATTCCACCCCAAATACAAAATGCTTCGGTAAAGGGCTATATTTTATATTCCTTGTGTTCCTTGGAGTGTCTAAAGCTGTACTCAACTGGACTGTGGAAGAATCTGTATAAATCTCTCTCCTAGAAATACATGTGTGTAAATCAAATTTTGCATATATTCTGTCTCCCTTTTCATCTGTTTCTTCTAGCGAGAATTTTGCTCTGGGAAGAATAAATATAACTATGGATATATGTCAGTAAAGGTTACTGGGATCAAGTTTTTCCCTGTTTTTTTTCATATAAAGTCCTGCGGTTCCTAACAACATAAAAACTCTATTGTTAATCAGTTGTGTCGTCGTACAATTACTGTGGAATCTATGCACACAAACCTCTATAGAATAATGTATTACACACCCATATGGTGTGGTGTAGCCCAGTGCTTCCAGTACCAACCTGCACAGCACATTACAGCACCGGACACTATAGGCAACTATAGAAAAGGTACAGTAAAAATATGGCATAAAAGAATAAAAAATGTACAGAGTGTGCAGAACTAAGAGTTGCTCTGGGTGAGTTGGTGAGTGACTGGGAAGTGGCAGAGAAGGCCTGGGGTTTTATTGTGCCACTGTGACCTTAGGAAACACTGTATGCTTAAACTGCACTATGCTTACAAAAATGTATTTTTCTTTGTTCTTTAATAAATTAGCTTATTATAATTTTTTAACTTTATAAACTATTTTTTTTCTTTCTTTGGTGCTAGGGATTGAATTTATTAACTTGTACTTTACGCCACTGGCACTCTTATAAACTGTTTAATGAAAGTTTTCAACTGTTTTGTAATGGCATTAAGCTTAAATACAATAAAGATATTGTACTGTTCTACAAAAATATTCTCTCTCTCTCTCTCTCCCTCTTGTATTAGCGATTGAACAATTGAACACAGGGCCTCAAACATGCTAGACAAGCACTGTATCAACATTTTTTTTTTTACATCCTTACTCTATAGCTCTTTTCCAATTCTTTTACTTTTTAAAATTTTTGCTAGCAGTGAAGATGCAAACACACACATTAGCCTGGGCCTGCATAGGTCGCAGTTGTCAGTGTCACCATCTTCTACCTCCATATCCTGTGCCACCGGAAGGTGTGTGATGGGTAACAGCAAGCATGCAGCTGTCATCTCCTGTTACAACAAGGTTTTCTTCTGTAATCCCTCCTGAAGGACCTACGAGGGGCTGTTTTACAGTTTACCTTTC